TTGCATATATTAACATCTTCTTACTATCTAATCTTGCCTTGCTTGTATCCAATTTGCCATTTTAGCAAGCAGTGGAGGGAAACTTGATGATGACAATTCCTGACAAGGAAGTCAGAGTGGTACCCTGCAGCTGCACTACACTGCTTGCTCCTTCTGACCTCCATCTTGGCGAACATCCCCAACATGTCAGGGTATGCTCATGAGAAGCACCCACCTGCTTTCTTTGACAAATAGCCTCAACACATCATCATAGCATATCTTTGGCTCACTATAATATAGTTCACCAATGGAATACAGCACTTTGGAGTGCACTGACACTTTATATTGCATTGCTGCTGGCAGCCAGTTTGCATGCAGGACAAGCACCTATTCCTGCTTTGAAACAGACTGCTTCTCAGAATCTTAGCTTGCTTTCCTAGTGCTCACTTACTTAATGCCTACTTGGATGTTCCCAGCATCTTGCCTTTGCCAAATAATTTTACGTATTTCCTCATCATTCAGAGCTTCAAGCCTCACTGTACTTGTGTGCTGCCTTGCCTACAGACATTTGCCAGGCAGCTTGTCAGCATTGATCAAACAAGGGGTGGACATGCCGCTGTATAGCACCTTGCATCACATGCCATCAGCTTACATGGCAATCTCACTAAATTTGGTATAATCAAGTGACCATGTCTGACAATCTAAGTGGAGTAGTCCTCACTTTAGTCAAAGGGATCTGTCAACAGCCATGACGTTCTACTGTAGTTAGTCAAGGGCACCATCCAATATCAGTTCAGGGGCTTTGACACAGTCAGTTGATCACTTGTGGAACCCAACACCCTGAATCACCCTCTAAGTCGCGCAGCCACTCCAAAGGTCCGCACATTGTCATCATCATTTCAGTTCTGGAACCCTTGCATGGACCTCAGAGGTCCGCATTGAAAGGAACAAGAAGCAAGAATATTGCCTGGCATTCATATCCTCCCAGCCCAGGGTCAGTCCTGCATGTCTAGGTCAATCAGTCCAGGGAGTAGTAATAAGTCAAGTCGTGAACTGCAGTCAGGGCTTCTCTTTTATTCTTAATCTTAACCTTTATGCTCTTTGACATACAGGGTTTTCCATTCTTGGTGCCATCCTTTGTCTTTACGATGTCTTATTTGCTCTGAACTCTCCCTTACTTCCTCCTTGAAAGTGTCCCACTTGTCTGGCACCGTTTTATCTATGCATAGTTGCTTCCAGACCACTTAGGCCAAATTACGTCTTACTTTCATAAAATTAGCCTTTCTCTAGCTTAGAAATTACATTCCCAGTCCATCCTTCTTCTTTTCCATAACTATCCATGATCTAACTGAGTTCTGGTAACAATCTTTTCCAAAAAAGTCATAGGATTCTGGAGAAGTACCAGAGGATTGGAAAACTTTGAAAATGTGTCATCCCATTCAAAAAGGGAGGAAGGCAAAAACCAGATAGCTATAGGCCAATTAGCCCAGCATCTATTATTGGAGACATATTGGAAATAATTATTAAGGAAATAATAGCAGATCATTTGGAAAATCATTATCTAATCACGCAGAGTCAGCATGGCTTAAAGAAAGGAAATTGTGTCTGACTAATTTCTTACAGTTTTGAGGGAGTCTCAACCAGAGTGGATAGAGGGAAACCAGTAGATGTGTTGTATTCGGAATTCCAGAAGATGTTTGACAAGGTACCTCACAAAAGGTTAAGCCGCAAGTTGCTGACAATGCATTTCAGAGGCTTCATTTCTTCTGGGAAAAGAAGAAATGCCTAATATTCTATTTAAAATCTTGCATAGTTTAAATTGTGTCATTCTCCCCACCAACCCACCCTCCTCACCCCAAAAATCTGTCAAATCAGAATCAACAGGCATGTACTCCAACTCTTATTATTTCATGCACTGCTGTTTGGTCACCTGTTTCATAAAATTCCTTTTAATGTTGTAAGAACAACTTTCATTTCTGAACACTTAACTAATTAAGATTAATTTAATTTTGTGTAAGTTTCTAAGGAAGCATTCAAGGTATAAAATGTAAATGTCAGTCAGCAAACTATGCACATTGCAACTTAAGTTGATAATTTATGCAATCTCCATACCTTGACACCAATCTGGAATACTGCAATCACATTTTGATACTCATTTATATATGTGGTCAACAATTAATGTTTTCAATCTAGCTGTTATTTTTCTCAAAGGGTAATTCTTAATCATGTGCAGGTAGTTCTCCTATAATGCAATAGTTGCAATCTTGTGTGACCTCGTGCTGTAGAAAATACATTATAGGGAAATCGTTATACATATACAGCAGAAAGTTTGCATTATCCAAACAGCATCCACTATTCAGCAATCGCGTTACAGCCAATTTGCATTAACAAAACACGCTTTACAGCAGAACTACCTGTGTATCTGTGTTCATGTCAGCATCATGATCTTTAATACAAGTGCATTGCTTTATGCAACATTATCTATATTACATCCATGAGACTTGGTGCACTATTGTATCCTGCTAGTTTTTCAGAGTATAACATATGTAGTGCCACCTGCAACACCACTAGTTGTTCATCCTCTTGCTATTGTTAATTTTCTTATTTGTTCAGGAGATGTGGGTGTTGCTAGCTAGGCTGGCATTTATTGTCCATTCTTAACTGCCCTGGAGAAGGTAGTGGTGAGCTGCCTTCTTGAACCATTCCAGTCTTTGTAATTTGACACAGCAATTGTGAAGGATTGGCAGTGTAGATCCAAATCAGGATACAAACATATTAGGAGTATAAGTAGGCCCCTCAACACCCTGAGTCTGCTCCAGGATTTAATAGGATTGTGGCTGATATGTTAGTGTTCCACATTTCACATTCCCATCTACCCTGATAACCTTTCGTTGCTTTGCCTAATAACCAGAACCTATTTATCTCAAAAATATTCAATGACACTTCTCCACTGCCCACTGAGGTAGAGAATTCCAAAATCATACCACTTGGGGCAGCGCAGTGGCTCGGTGATTAGCACTGCTGCCTCACAACGCCAGGGACCTGGGTTCAATTTCACCTTTGGGCGACAGTGTGAAATTTGCACATTCTCCCCGTGCCTGCATGAGTTCCCTCCGGGTGCTCCAGTTTCCTCCCACAGTCCAAAGATGTGCAGGCTGGGTGGATTGGCTATGCTAAATTGCCTGTAGTGTTCAGGGATGTGTAGATTAGGTGGGTTAAAGGGGGATGGGTCGGTGTGGACTTGTTGGGCCAAAGGGCCTGTTTCCACACTGTAGGAATTCTATGATATAAGGTGACAGCCAAAGTATTGGAGGTATTATATTGGCATAGATAGAGAATTGACTAATGGGCAGGAAACAGCAAGTGGGGAAAAGGGATTCTTGTCACAAGTTGGCAATCTGTGATCAATGTCATTCCACAGGGGTTAGTGATGAGATCACAATTATTTACAATATATATTAAAAACTTGGAGGAAGTAAGTGAATCTGCTGTAGCCAAATTTGCAAATGACACAAAAATATGTGGAAAGGCAGGTTCATAGAATCTCTACAGTGTGAAAGCAGGCTATTCAGCCCACCAAGCCCATATCAATCCTCAAAACAGCATCCCACCCACCTCCCCTATAACCCTGCATTTTCCACAGCTACTGACCTAGCCTGCACATACAGGCAATTTATCATGGCCAATCCACCTAACCTGCATATGTTTGGACTGTGGGAGGAAACCTGCACAGGCACAGGGGGAATGTGCAAAGTCCACATAGGCAATTGCATGAGGGTGAATTGAACCCAGGTCCCTGGCACTGTGAGTTAGCAATGTTAACCACTGAGCCACTGTGCTATTAGAGGGGTAGAAGCAGTTTATGGAGAGATATTGATATGCTGAAGCAAATGGGAAAAAGTTGGTAAATGGTGTATAATGTAAGGAATGCAAAGTTGTTCATTTTGGAAAGGAGAACAGAAGATCAGAATAATACTTAAATGGAGAAAAACTGCAGAAAGCTGAAACACAAATGGATTTGGGTGTATTTGTGCACAATACACAGAAAGCTAGCACACAGGTGTAGCAGGTAACCAGGAAGGCTAATGGAATGTTGGCGCTTATTTCAAGGGGATTGAAGGATAAGACTTGGTAAGTCTTACTGCAACTGTACAAGGTGCTAATGAGACTGCATCTGGAGTACTGTCAATAGTTTTGATCCCCTTATTTTAATAATATATCATTTCATTGGATGCAGTTCAGACAAGTTTCACTAGGATGATTCCTGGTATGGAGGGATTGTCTGATGAGCAAAGGCTAAACATGTTGAGACTCTACTCACTGGAGTTTAGAAGAATAAGAGGCAACCTCATTGAAACATATAATTCTAATGAATACCTATGATTTAAACCCAATTTGCTTTGATCATAAACCCCATTCTCACATATAGGCAGACACAGATATGGAATAAATTTAAAAGAAAATTAAAGAGTTGTAAGTCGCCAGATTGTTTAAGCAGTTTCAAGCAATGGTCGCTAAACCTTCATGCAATCCTCACATAATGAGTTATTTACCAACATGTGGGACTGGATATCTTGAATTCCAAAGTAACCGATTAATGTAAACAGCTTCCACATATCAATGGAGAGTTTTACTAATGCCTTATAGACTGGGGCTCTTTTCTCAGAATCATTCAATACCGGAAGTTAACTGGAGAAAAATCAAGGCACTGTCCAGTAGCTTTCATAGCTACGCTGCCTTTTGCCTAAACAGCAACCCAAACTAGTTCAATCTTGTGATTCTCTTTCTGTTTTCTTTTCAACATTCCCTTAGTACCACCTCCCTTTGATTGCCCCTTTAACATTTAAGCAGCTGCCAAACCTTGAACATAATACATCTCAGGTGTCTGAGTGTCTACAGCAGTCTTAGAACAATAATTAAACTGCAATTAATTTTCCGGACCAGTTCCCATAAACAAGTATCAATTTGTTTGTTTTTCCCGTTTTAAAAAAACGAACTACTGCTCAAAGTCCAAAGTTCAACTCTCAACTTCAGCTCACAGTTCCAAACCAAAAGTGAGAAAAATAGAAAAAAGCAGTGATGTTCCTAACAATGGGCACAAGTGTCGGGGTAAGCTGTCAATTGCTTGCACATTTATATTTGGACTTGGACTTTCTTTATTCTTTAGTTTTGTTTGCTTAACTTAAATCCCTATCTCTTCAATCTTTACAAAGTCTGTGATTGGTTTGAAATGCTATTCAGTTGAAATATTTGCTGAATTGTTGCCACTCTATCGTGGCTCATCCTTTTACTTAAAATTCCACGTAAATGCGTCAGCACTGGCAAACTCCTAATATTTAAACAAATTTACATCTGGATCTGTGAATAAAAATGAACTGTTCAGCACCACTCAGTTATTTAATTAACACTTCTATTGATATACTTGAAGGCAGATGAACTGAAAAGCTACAAAGAACAAAAATGGAACCATCTGGTGTGAAGAAAGCAATACAGAATTAATTGTAGTGGGAAGTCATCAAACTAGGAAAGAAAGGAGAAACAAAGTGCCGAGGAGCAATGAAAGCAGTGATCAGTGCTGGAAAGCCAAGGCTTCTTCAACAGTGCCTTCCAAATGCATGACATCTGTTGTCTATTTGAAGTGCAATAAATGTAAGCATCACTAACTCCAAGACTCAACTTCAAGTCACATCTCAGAGAAGATTCAATCCCAGACTCCACAATTTTTTGCATGAGTTGGTCTTAGGAAAGTGCTTCTAGAGCTGAGTAAGCATTCTTGCTTTAATATCCTAAAAGGAATTACAGGAACAGGTTGACCTGGAGATATATGTGCTCAAATCAATGAAGGTGCTTCATAAGGCAAAAGAGATCCTGAGCTTTATAAATTGAGGCATAGCATTCAAAAGCAAGGAAATTGTGGTGAACCTTTATAAAATACTGGTTCAACCTCAACATGACCACAATTTTTAGGGCCAGATTTTAGGAAGGACATGAGGGCTTCTGAGACAGTGAGGAAAAGATATAAAAGAATGGGTCCAGGATGAGGAGCCTCAGTTACATGGGATTGGAGAAATTGGGACTGTTTCCCTTGTAGAAGTGAAATTTGAAAAGAGATTCTATATAAGTATTCAAACTCGTGGAGGTCTGGACAGGATAGGGAAAATATTTTCCTGCAATGGAGGGGTCAAAAACAGAGGATACTCATGCGAAGTGAACGGCAAAAAAACAACTTTTTTAAGTAGTGTGTGGTTGTGTAGAAATATAATGTCAACATTCTTATGAGTGAACTTACAAGGCATCGTGTTAAATGATATGGCCCAGTCCCATGTTACCAGATATCATTATAACTCAATTTACCTATGTGCTGTAGTTATCCTTAAATGGAGGTATAATTAACCTTTTAATCTACATTTTCCCAAAAGTTCTCTATGGCACCCCATTTTATCACTAACATATAACTGTGAGCATTTTTTTCCTTACTTTTACTTTCCCTCTGCCACAAGTCACTTTGATTGAAGCATTAACCATTGTGCCAGCAGTGAAGGGCATGGCATTATGAGGGATTACATAAACTCAATGACGTGGTAAATAGATGTTAATTACCTCACATTCCCTCTACCTTGCTGTTTCTTTCACATTGAGGACTGAGTGAAAATTTGTAAAGTGTGTCTCAAAAATGGAATTAATCCATCTTCAAACAAAAAAAGGGAATGAAGGCATATTGATTTCTATGAATTTGAAGTTAATGATTACCTTGTTTCGATCAATAGCTATGACAAATGGATAATATTGAGTCTGTGTCACAGGTACTAAAAACAATTGCGGTTTTGAGAAATTGTTTTGCAAGCAGTGTTGCATCAGCTAATGATCCACAGTTTGCATCAGAAGAACCTGAAATATTTCTGAGTAAGAATGGAGTGAAACAGACACCAATACCAAAATGTTTCCCAGAAAAGAATAGTTCAGCAGGAAAATGTATACAGATTGTGACCAAACCTCTGCAGAAGTATTTGCTAGGCGATGAGCTAGGCAGAGATTTCTCTGACACAGACTGGACAATCTTCTGTTCTATTATAGAATAACTTCACAGGATAGAATGGGTTGCTCACCGAACAAGTTAATGTTTAAACATGTTCTGCATACAAAATTTAGTTGATTTAAGTTTGACAAGAAAGAGAAAATCAAGGCAAAGTGAAGATGCATAGTGAAGACTCCCCCCCTCCAGTGATCGAAAATGCCCTGAAACGCATCTCTTGCATTTCCCGCACTTCTGCCCTCACATCTCCTCCCCCCAACAAAAATAAAGATAGACTCCCCCTTGTACTCACACATCACCCCACTTCCACCACCTATAATCCAACCCCACAACCACTGAGATATTTCCCTCCCCACCCCTATCTGCCTTTCATAGGGACCACTCTCTCCGTGACTCCCTCATCTGCTCCACACTCCCCACTAACCCCACCACAACCAGCACCTTTCCCCGCAACTGCAGGAAGTGCTACACCTGACTCTACACCTCCCCCCTCACCTCCATTCAAGGCACAGAACAAATCTTCCACATCAGACAGGGGTTCACCTGCACATCCATCAACTTGGTCTACTGTATCTGCTGCTCCTGATGTGGCCTCCTGTACGTTGGTGAGACCAAGTGTAGACTTGGAGACCATTTGTAAAGCATCTGTGCTCTGTATGCATCAAACGACAACACTTTTGGTTGCAAACCATTTTAACACCCCTCCCACTCCCTGGGTGACATGTCCATCCTGGGCCTCCTCCAGTCTCACAATGACACCACCCACAATCTGGAGGAGCAGCACCTCATTTTCCACCTTGGGAGCCTATAGCCCAATGACTCAATTCACCAGTTTTAAAATCTCCACACCACTGGCCTCATCCCCAAGTCCATCTCTCCCTTTCATCCCCGCCTCCTTGATCTCTCTCCAACCTATCTGCCCCTCCCATCCTACTGACCAATCCCCACCACTCCCTACCTGTACTCACCTATCACCATCCCACTTTATTTCTGAGGTCTATTTATTTCTGAGGTCCCTTCACCCTCCCCCATTTTGGAAGAAGGGTTCTGACCTGAAACATCAACTTGCCTGCCCCTCTGATACTGCCTGGCCTGCGGTGTTCTTCCAGCTCCATACTGTGTTATATCTACAAATAAGTGAAATGATTGTATCATATAATTCACAGGGACAGCAAAGTCAGTTCGGGTCTTTGATTCAGCTGAACCAATGAATGTCATAATCCCACTCATTAAGTGAAGTTGTTAATCAAAGTCAAAGTCCAAGTAGTTGGAGATGTTGACAGAGCAGAGGCAAACTAATGGAAATACAGATATCCAGACTGAAAGCAAAAGAAGACAGATTGGTTATTTGAAAGTGTGTAGGAAGTTGGAATTTAAAAAGATGAATTTGCTTCATTGTTGATGGTCAAGTAATAGTTTAGTTAAGTACATTCTGGTGTAAAGAAAAATATTATTTTTCAAAAGTAAATCTCTTTGAAAATATCAGTTTTATATGTCTTGAACTTGATTACTACAAAAAACACAAGTATATAAGCCACTAAACTAAAACAAAGAATTGCAGATTCTGGAAATTGTTGGAAAAACTCAACAGGTCTTGCAACATCTTTGGGGAGAAAACAAAGTTACATTTTGAATCTGGTGATTCTTCATCAGAACTGTTTGGTTCAAATTTGCTGATGCCAGTTAGGCAGCAATGTTGAAAGTATAGATGATAGCATTAAATTATAAAGGGATATTGACAGATAAAGCAAAACTGCAGCAGATGGACTTCATTGTAAATAGAACATAGAACTGTACAGTACAGGAACAGGCCCTTCAGCCCACGATGTTGTTCTGAGCATGATGCCAAATTAAACTCATCCCTCTGCCTGTCCTTGGTTCATATCCCTCCATTCCTTGCATATTCATGTGCTTATCTAAAAGTTCCTTTAGTGGCCCTATCACATCTGCCTCCACCACCACCCCTGGCAGTATATTCCAGACTCCTATCACTCTCTGTGTAAAAATCTTGTCCCTCATTTCTTCTTTGAACTTTCCCCCCTCACTGTAAATACATGCCTCCTAGGATTAGACATTTCAACTCGTGAAAAAGATTCCAACTGTCAGCCCTATCTATGCCTCTCAAAATTTTATAGACTTCTATCAAATCTCCCTTTAGCTTCCACCGCTCCAGAGAAAACAACCTGAGGTTTCCTAGTGTCTCCTAATAGCTCATCCTCTCTAACCCAGGCAGCATCCTGGTAAACATCTTCTGCACCCTCGCCAAAGCCTCCAAAGCCTTCTTGTAATGTAGTGACCAGAACTGAATGCAATTCTCTACGTGTGGCCTAACCAAAGTCTTATAAAGCTGCAATATGACATCCTGACTCTTGTGCTCAATTCCACAACCAATAAAGGCAAGCATGCCATATGCCTTCTTCACCATCCTATCTACTTGTGTGGGCACTTTCAGGAAGCTATGCACTTGAACCCTAAGATCCCTTTATACATCAATGCTGTTCAGGGTCCTGCCACTAATTGAATACTTTTCCTTAATATTTGATCTCCCATTGTGCAGCACCTCACACTTACTCAGATTAAACTCCATCTGCCATTTCTCTGCCCATTTCTGCAACTGATCTATATCCTGCTGTATCCTTTAACAAACTTCTACACTATCCACAACTCCAACGATCTTTGTATCATCTGCAAACTCACTAACCCACCCAGCTACCCAAATAACTGTGAGGTAATCCATTTTGGATCAAGAAAGGATAGATCAGAGCACTTTCTAGACGGTATGAAGTTAAATACAGTGGATGTCTACAGACTTCAGAGTTTGGGTGCATAGGTCTTTGATATGTCATGAACTGGTGCAGAAAATAACCAAGAAGGCTAATGGAATGCTGGTTTTTAATCTAGAGGACTGGAGTACTAGGATGCAGAGGTTATGCTGCAGTTAAACAAAACCCTGGTTAGATTACTGTTATGAACCAGACCAAACCCCTCAAAACATGTCAAGGAGATAGCCTAGACCCTAACCTCTTCTTATGTTAATGGCAAGGGCCAAGCGTTGTGTTCCGGATGCAATTCGATTGTTCAAGCTATCTTATGCTGATCATATCAAATAGAATGTCCATTTGTTTGTTCACAACAAACCAGGTGCTGACTGCACCCAGCCTGAACCACTTGTAAAACTCACACCATAGTGTCCAACCTTAGATGTGATTCTGCAATGGGACAACTTTTGCTGGATAATTCAAAATGTGCAAAGAATTACACTGACAACTAATTTAGGATTATCAGTCAGGCTCGCGGTGCGGCACACCTGTGTGTTCTGGAAGCTATATATATTAATTCACAAAACTCTGTTCTTTGCAGACAGAAATAATATATACACACACTGTACCTGTTTCAAGTCAAGAATGTGGTTGATTTGATTTGTTCATTTTTCAGGGAAATGTTCTGAACAATCAGAGTCAACCCACCTGTTTTAAAAAGTAGACAAAGCCTGGACTGTCAGTCAACAATAAGAATGCATTCCCAGTGGCAACACATGTACGAATCAGAATCCACATTCAAACATACATTCTCCTCTCATACATTATAAATGTTGATTTTCCCATTGAATTGACGTTCTTGTGAATTATC